GTCTGTGTCCTCTCTTTGCTTCCCTCACTCATCTTGTTACAATATTAGGAAATTCACCTTTGGCCTGAAAAGTGGCACACTTTCTTTTGATTTACCGAGCATTCAATTTCCTTGAACAGGTTTGGAATTTTGAACAGAAATGCCAGGAGTTAGAAGCCTCTGAATATAGTAAGAGTCTTCAGTTTGGTGTGACAGGTGGGTGAATTTTATTGACTGTGGTATAAAGATTTAATAGGTCAAAGAAACTCCCAAAATCTTCACTTAAAGTGAAGATTTTTAGCATTGCTTTAAAAAAAAAAAAAAGTAAGGTTTCACTTCTGTCTAACCCCCAGTACCTCTCAAAGGCACACTGACTGCCCCAGCATGGCACATCCTCAGAAGTCACTGCCTGAGTGGGAGCAATAGAAACAGGGTCTCAGTAGGAAAAATGATGCCCTAGTACCATACCCAGGAAATGCCTCACCCGTATTTGGGGCACCAAGTTTGCTTGCTCTCCCCTAAGTTGCTGCTCACATGGCAATTGTAAAGCTTTCAGTATGCTGAACTGGTGGTAACAAGCAGAGTTTTGAATTCCACTCAATTTACATGAACCTAGTATTTCTTGTTTGCCCATTGAGAAGACCCTTGTATCTGTCTCCTTTCCATTCAGCTACTGCTCCCTGAGCAGCACAAATGGTAGGTACTGTACTACTAGTCAATAGGTTCTAAGTGTTAATCTACACAAAAGCACCTTGGAAGACAGGCCTGTTGATCCACACAGCCTTGAAAATCCTATAGAGAAGTTCTACTCTGGACAGACGGGTTGCCATGAGTTGGAATCAACTCGATAACTAGTAACAACACTGAGTTGCCTTGAGAGGGCTCTAATGAGTGACTAACACTGTAGACTGATGCTATGCACCCAAGACATGACACATACAACTCTCAGACCTGCAGCATCTCTGTGCACTGTGCTCTCAAATGGCCTGACTTCCTTATGTCAATGTTCTTTATAATTCCTTATGTTTATGTCCCTCTAGTGTTACCAGTATTCCTAGGTTCTTCATTTTGGCTATCTCTGCCCTAAAGAAAAGGTAAAGACACCTCTGATTTTTGCTATTGATTTTATTTTTGATTGGTTTATAAAATACCATTAAGGAGAAGTGACACTTGAATTTGAAACACCAATGCATAATGGTCCACCTCAGCTCCTAAATGTAGAGGCAGTCTTAAACCTAGTTTTGAAACTTGAGAATTCCATCAGGAAAGGAAAAGGTGAGTTTCCGGTGTTGATGCAAATCACAACACAGCATAGGGTACAAGGTGTTCTACCACTTACTCATTCCAGATCTCAACTCTAATGTGACAAATGGCAACAAAGGTGGTTCTAGGAAAAATGTATAAAATGGATAAGTGTTTGGAATCAACTCTTCTCATGGATCCTGACTCAGGTTTTCTCCTGGGGACAGCCTAGGTTCTCACCTATTATCCTGAATATTCCAAAATAGTGCTTTGGGGTGACTGACCTGGACAGGGACTCAGTCCAGCACTTCCTGGGTGAGTCTACTAACAAGGAAGACTGTTTCTCCATTTGAAGGATTGTTGTTGTTGTTATGTGCCGTCGAGTCAGTTCCAACCCATAGTAACAGGGTTTCTGAGGCTGTAAATCTTTACGGGAGCAGAAAGTCTCATTTTTCTCCCATGGAGCAGCTGGTAGTTTCGAACTGCTGACCTTGCGGTTCACAGCCTGATTCGTAACCACTACGCTACCAGAGCTCCTTTAAGGATAAACACCAACAATTCCTAGGTAGTGAGATAATATTTCATCTCTCATATGTCAGACATATTGTCAGGAGGGACCAGTAACTGTAGGACATCATGTTTGATAAGGTGGAGGGTAAGAGAAAAAGAGGAAGACCCCCAACAAGATGGACTGGCCAAGTGGCAGCATCAACGGACTCAAGCATGACAACAGTAGTGGGGTTGGCCCATGATCGAGCAGTGTTTTGTTCTGCTGTGCATAAGGTCGCTATGAGTTGGTACCAACTCAATGGCACCTAACAACAGGATGACACTGTTAAGTTTCAGTCACCTTCCTGTGCTCACCATATTCTGCCAACTGAATGCCTTCTTCTATTCCCTAAGCATTATCAAACAGATAGGTCTGAATCACTCATAAAAAAGAAACAGGAGGGGAAAAACATGAGCATCTAACGTAAGACAGAAAGATTCTGCTATTAACTTGCAGAGGAATTTTAAATTGTATTCTCTTGGAAGCACAAGGTATCTGGGACAATGAGAGAGGTAGAAGAGACAGAGAACGACCATGAGACTAGAGAAAAGAAGGGACAATCCATGAAAATCATGATCCAGCTTGAGTATGACACAGCTAAATGGAAGCTGTAGGCACCAAGCTGTCCCTTTCCAAAGAGAAAGCCCATCACCCACTTTGGAGTCACACTCATCTGTGCCACCAGAAATTAGACTCAGAACCTTTCAAACACATACACACATACATATACACTAAACATATATCATGTACTAATAAACCACCTCAGGGAGCATGGTGGCTATGCACAATAAGCACAGGACTGCAAACTACAAGGTTAGCAGTTTGAGCCCATCAGCTGCTCCTCAAGGGAAAAAGTTAGGTTTTGTACTCCCGCAAAGGTGCATAACCTGAGAAACTCTACACAGGGTAATTATGAGTCTGAACTGACTCCATGGCACTGAATATACCACCTCACGGTACTGAGCCCCCTAAGAGCCCCCAGAAGAGAAAGTGTTGTATTTCTGCAGATGTTGGGATGAAGGGGGAAAGCTCCTTTCTGATCTTATTCCTATCGGGTGACTGCACATTAGTTGAAATTACTACTAGCAATATTTATTTTAAAATATCAATTAGCCTAATTATTTCAAAGACCATAAACATGGCACTGTCTCTTAAACTTGGTTTCTCATCGATGGAATAGCAGTATTACCTATTTCATAAAACTACTGGGAGTTTATCAAGGATACACATGTGTGTGTGTGTGTCTTCCTCTTTTGCACCCTGCACTATCAGTGCAGCTCTCATACCACTGCCAGCCTGGCACAAAGATAAGGGTTCAGAAAGCCATAGGTGGCCTAATCCCTTATCTTCAACCCCACAATTGCATATGAGTTCTCCCATGTATTCAGATGCCATAGTTGTAAGGAGAAAAGGGTGATAAGTATCTCTGAGAATTTTCCAGAAAGATCCGCTGAAACTAAACTGAAGGCTTCAAATAAGAATAGAGGAGAAGGTATTACCACATTTCTAAACAAATAATACATACGGTCATATACAATTTTGCATATTACATAACCATCTCCTATATGTTGTTTCCACAAGCATGCAACACCAATATATTTTTCATATGTTGAAGACATTAATTTCATTTTTTTTTTTTTTGTTCTGTGAGCTTAATTGTAAGTCTTTGTATTGGTGCCAATTGACTCAGAGGTTTGTTTCCCAGCAGTAGGACCAACCTCTGGAGTCTCTAAGGTAGCCTCTCTCCTGGCAGGATTCCTTGCCTGCTTGGCAAACTGCTTTTCAGAATGCAGGAAGAAATCTCTTTTTGTGCCCCAGACACATCCCTCATCAGACAGCTGGCCCTAGCCCAGGAAGTGAGTGGGTCTGTGCACCCTTGACTGGAGAGGCCACTCAGATGGGCACTGAAGCTGTGCACATTCCAACACATCCATCTGGTTGGCTGCCACACTTGGTTGTTTGAATTTACCGTCCACATGGACGCGTGCAGCAAGTAGGACAGTCACAGGTGCAGAGAGGTCATGTGTCCCTCACTCAGACAAGACTGGTCTGATTGGCTACCTGGGGTCGGGGGGCAGCTCTCAGGGCTCCCACCTATATCATTCTACCACCCTGCTTCTCATGGGATCAGCACCACAGGTCCCAGGTATGCTTGGGCAATGTCCTTCATCCTCAACAGGACAAGCCCTTGCTCAGGCTGTGGCAGCCCTAAGCCCAGCTCACCTCCCAATGTTATGCCCATCTCCAGCACAGCGTACCTGGACAGAGATTGCCTGCAAAGACTGCCACTGCTCTGAGGCCCAGCTGTGGACTGCCCCAGAGTGATCGTATAGTTTCAATAGTTTACTTTCCAATTATGGGAGTACTACCAAACTGGATCTATGACTTTGTAACCACGGCCTACACCTTCAGTATACAAATGTGATCAAAAGCAACACTTTGGGACTATTGAACGAGAGTGAATGAGGCTAAAATTCACTTCTGTAAATGTCAGGAGACACGTAGTGTATGCATGCTTATGCTATGTCAGAACTTTAACACAAAATATGTGTGTGTGTGTTTGATTTATGTGGGTGAACTTTTGTGAAAAACATAGTAATAGGCAAGTTTGATGGCCAACCTTATCTGCCCCCGTCCCTCACAGAAGAATTATGAATTCAAAAAAAAATGTTGCATCTGCATCCACATCCCCTCCCCTAAAGTTTCACACGTTTAATAAGGAATCCTCAAATTTAGAAGTTAAATTTAAAATTACTTCCTTACTCAAAGTACAAGGTTTGCAATGAAGGAAATGCAGGTGCGGAAAGAAGAATTTCAAAGGCAGTACTGTTGGGGCTCATCTAAAGTCTGGGTTCTCAAAGTGTGGTTCTTGGATCAACATCATCAATAACAGTTAGGACCTTATTAGAAATACAGACAATCAAGCCTTGCCTGAGTCTTTCTGAATTAACAACTGCTTCTGACATGACTCCCAGGTAACATATGCACAATAAAATTTGAGAAGCAATGTGTTAGTGGGCTGGACCGCTCCACTCACCACACCAAGACTGGCTGTCCAACCTATTTATTAAAGTTGCCAGGCAGGGCAGACCATCTCATATAAAATCCATTTTCTAGTATGTACATGTATTAAAACTAAAAATCAAAACTTTCAGGAAGTGCCATTCTTATATCTACTACTGGAAATTTTTAAAAACATTTGATCAGAAAAATATGAGCAGATGCTTACGTATCCATCACACCGGCCATCATTAATCCTCAGATACATCTGTGCATTCTTCACACTTTCAAACATGCAAATCCCAGGGCTGATTTTATGCACTTTCCAGTAGGATTTCTCAGACTGATTTCCCACTCCAGTGCAGCTTCCGTCTGACTGGAGACACAGCGCTTGGCGCAGGCTTGTAGCTAGCAGAACCACAGCATTATCAAGGAACATGCCCTTCAGAGCAACAAATAAAAGAGAAAGACAGTAAATAACAAGCTTGCATTTTACTAGAGGGAGATGGCTATCGCATCCACTCTTGTTAAGAAGTTCCACTTATCAGGATCCTCCCTTTCAGACATCTGAAAAGGAGGAAACGAAGGAAGCAAATAGTAAAACTGCATTATAAATTTACATTGATCATTATTTACTGAGAGTGGATTAATGTATAAAGTCAGATCAGGTATTACAGGGACTAAAAACAAAAATGGTTGTTGTTGTTAAGTGCCATCGAGTCGATTCCGACCCATAGCAACCCTGTATAGGGTTTCTATGAACCACCAACCTTGTAGTTCAAATGGCTTTGCAGTCTGACCCATTAGCCCACAGCACCACACCAGGGCTCCAAAAAATATATATATATACCCAAAGCAAAAATGTTTCTCTTAATTAATTTCCAATCCCTTTACACAAATAAGAGCCTCTGATAACACAAATGGTTAAGCAGTTAAGTGCTTGACTACAAACAAAAAGATTGGCATTTTGAAATCTGCTTCCAAAAGGTCACAGCCTTAGTGCAGTTCTACAAGAGTTGAAATTTATGGGCAACTATTTTGTTTGATGGGTAAGAAACAATATATTTAGTACTCGTACAAAGCAGAATTAAATGAGTGTTCTATAACAGTACCTGAATTAGACATGCATTCTATAGCTATTAGTTACTGTTCTTGCTGTGTGCTGTTGATTCTGTTCTAACTCATAGCGACCCTGTATAGGGTTTCCAAGGGGCAGTGAGTTCAAACAGTTAGCCTTGTGGTTCAAACTGACCTTGTGGTCTAGTGCTTTATCCCACAGGGGCACATCAGGACTCCTAGTTAACTGTATGCATGAGCAAATGAATGAAAATAAAAGTAACTATTTAAGCAAATCCTATGTAACCAATAACATAAACACATAGCCAGCTTTGGAAACTGATTGTTGTTGTTGTGTGCTTTGGAGTCAGTTCCAACTCATAGCAACAGGGTTTTCGAGGCTGTAAATCTGTACAGGAGCAGAAAGCCTCATCTTTCTCCCACGGAACAGCTGATTGTTTCGAACTGCTGACCATGAGGTTAGCAGCCCAATTCGTAACCACTACGCTATCAGAGCTCCTTTGAAAACTGATTAAAACATTAACACAGCAAAAAAAAAAAAAAGACAAAAAGCAAAAAAGAAAAAAAAAAAAACAACATTAACACAAAAAAAAAAGACATAAATAGACAAAAAACAAATAGTGAATAAACATATGAAAATATTACCTACATTTATACTTTTTAAAAATGCAAGTTAAAATTAGATAGTCATTCCTCCAGAAAACTGTCATATTTTTTTCTTTAACAACTCAACACTGAGGTCAATGAGGTGGGCACTCTCCTATGCAGCAGAATGTAGCACAAATTAGAACATTACTTGAAAGAAATCTGGTAATGTGCTTCAAGTGTCTTAAAAGTTTCATGTCCCAATCCTTAAATTAAATATCTAATTATCTAAGTTAATGAAGCAATCAAAGAAGTGGTCAAAGACATATGTCTAAGTGTGACTCATAATACAGAAGTGATTAAATAAAAATAGAATAAATGTCCAATAACAAAAGAGTTGCATATACCATAAGACTATGAAAAATTCATAGAAAGAAATCCATTAAATTTTCGTTCCATTTTTCCATGAATTTTTTTGAAGCCTCCTCAAATATATAGATTCCTGGTGTGGCATCATAGAACCTCAAGGTCAATTTGAACCAAAAGGTCAGGGGTTTGAACTTACCCAGCTGCTCTTTGGAAACCCTATGCAGAGTTATTACGAGTTAGAAATGAATTGATGGCACTTAACAACAACAACAACAACAACAACACATATATGAAGCCAAGTCAGAAAGTATTGCTACAAAATCATAGCAATCTTTATTAACAAAGATATCAAAATGGGAAGCTATTGTTTCTCAGTATACACTTCATCTAGGTCTACACGAGTCGGGCTGCAAACCTTAAGGTCAGCATCTTGAAACTACCACGCATTTTATCAGAGAAAGATGAGGCTTTCTAATCCAATAAAGATTTACAACCTCAGAAACCCTCTGCAGGTCGCTATGAGTCGGAACTGACTCCACAGCACATCACCGCCGCCATCACCATATCCTTCTGAAAGGATTGTTTCCACCTATCTAATCCTTCTTGAAAGAATTCTACACTCTTCTATTTATACTGGTGGTTGTGGTTATGTGCTGTGGAATCGGTTCTGACTCACAGTGACCCTGTACAGGGTTTTTGAGGCTGTAAATCTTTACAGGAGCAGAAAGCCTCATCCAGAATAGCTGGTAGTTTCGAACTGCTGACCTTGCAGATCGCAGCCTGATTCCTAACCACTACGCTACTAGAGCTCCTTTCTATTTATACTACATCAGTACAACAGTTTTGGTCTCAAGGGAATCAAATCATGTTCCTTTTAAATGTTCTTTGAGTTCTAGGAATTAAAAAAAGTCTGACAGGCTAAGATACAATTGTACCATGAATGGAGTAAAATTTTCCAATGTAATTCTTCTAGTGCAGACCTTGCTACCCTCAAACAACAGGTATATTGTTGTCATGGGAAAAAAATCATTTGTCACAAATTTCCCAGTCTTTTTCTCACCAATACAGATTTTCATTTTCTCAAAAATTCTTCCTACTAAGATCTGTGATCATCAAAATGTCTTCCTAATAAGCCCCAGTGATTGTCCTGTGTCCTTGTGAATTGTCCCTTTGGAATCCCAAAAAGCAGCTGTTATAACCTTCTATCTGGTAGTGTAGTGGTTACGAATCGGGCTGTGAACCACAAGGTCAGCAGTTCGAAACTACCAGCTGTTCTGTTGGAGAAAGATGAGGCTTTCTGCTCCCATAAAGATTTACAGCCTCAAAAACCCTGTACAGGGTTGCTATGAGTCGGAATCGACTCCACAGCACATAACAACAACAACAACATAACCTTCTAAGCTGACAGCTCTGACTTGAATTTAACTGGCCAACTAGGTCCCTCACCCCAGAAGCAATGTGTGTTGATCGGACCTATTTTTGAAGGCACCCTAGTCAGACTAACACTAGGGCGTATTACTGAGAGAATTTGTCTGTAGTCATTTACTGATTGCAGAGACATATTTAAACATGTTTTGTATGGAATACCCTTGTACATGTATAAATTGAAACCTAATAGCAATACCTTTGACTTATCTATCCTTTAAAAGGTTCATGGAAAATTCCATTTTCTTTTAAGAGACTTCAAAGAGTGAAAAACAAAACTGAACTAAAAGGTAATGAAGTCCCTATGTATGTGTGTATGTGTATTTATGTAGGACTTCTGGTATGGTAGGATCAGCACTAGACTGTAAACCACAAGGTCAGCTATTCAAGCTATTCAAGCTGCTCCTTGGAAAACCCTATACAGGGTGGCTATGAGTTGGAACCAACTTGACAGCACTTAATAAGAACAACCATGTAAGTATATATACCTATATGTAGTAATAGTTCTTACATTGAAATGTTTAGGTGTCGGTTCCCACTTATAGTAAACCTATGTACAAAAGAACGAAACACTGCCAGGTCCTGAGCCAGCATTATAATCACTCCTAAATTTGAGCCCATTGTTGCAGCCACTGTGTTAGTCCATCTCCTTGAGGGTCTTCCTCCTTTTTGTTGACCCTCTAATTTACCAAATAGGATATCCTTCTCCAAGGACAGTCTCTCCCGATGACATGGCCAAAGCACTTGACACAAAGTGTTTCCATCCTTGCATCTAAGGAGCATTCGGGCCATATTTCTTCTAAGGCAGATTATTTGTTCATTCTTCTGGCAGTCCCGGGCATACTTAATGTTCTTCACTAACATAATAATTCAAAAGCATAAATTCTTCTTCAGTCTTCCTAATTCATTGTCCATCTTTCACATGCAGATGAAGTAATTGAAAATACCATGTTTTGGGTCAGGAATATCTTGGTCGTCTTTGCTTTTTAATACTTAAAAAGATCTTTTATAGCAGATATGCCCTACATAATACGCCCTATGAGTTCTTGACTGCTGCTTACCTGGGTAGTCATTGTGGGTCCAAAGCAAAATGAAATCCTTGACAACTTCAATCTTTTCTCCATTTATCATGATGTTGCTTATTGGTACAATTGTGATGATTTTTGTTCCATTTATGTTGTGATGCAATCTATATTGAAGGTTGTAGTCTTTGATCTTCATCAATAAATACTTCATGTCCTCTTCATTTTAGCCAGCAAATTTGTATCATCTGTGTATCATAGGTTTTTGGTGAATCTTCCTCCAATCCTGATGCCTTGTTCTTTTTCATATGGTCCAGCTTCTCAAATTATTTGCTCTGGACACAGATTGAATAAGTATGGTGAATTTTTACAAACCTGAAGCACAACTTTCCTGATTTTCTTCAAAGCAGTCCCCCCTTATTCTGTTCAAATGACTGACTGCCTCTTGGTCCATAGAGCACAATTAAATCTTTCTTGAATTACTCTTTTTCACAATGTTAGCCATAATTTTTTTTTTTTTTTTTTTTGGTCCACACAGTTATATGCATTTGCATAGTAAGTAAACACAGGTAAAATTCTCTTTGGTATTCCCTGCTTTCAACCAAGATCCATCTAATAACAGTATTATTATTCCACATTCTCTTTTGAATATATTTTAATTTCTGGCAGTTTCAGTGTTTTGAATTATCATCAGTAAAATTTTATTTGTGAGTGGTATTATTAGATAATTTCCATATTCTGTTGGATCACCTTTCTTTGGAATGGGTACAAATCAGGATCTTTTCCAACTGGTTGGCCAGGTGGCTCTTTTCCAAATTTCTTGCCATAGAGTGTGCACCTCCAGTACTGTATCCATTTGTTGAAACATTTTAATTGGCACTCTTTTAATTCCTGGCACCTTACTTTTCACCTGTTCCTTCAGTGCAGTTGGACTTTTTCCTTCAATACCATCAGTTCTTGATCATGTGCCACCACTTGGAATGGTTGAACATCAACCAGTTCTTTTTCAGGCATGTTGTTGTTGTTATGTGCTGTTTAGTCAGTTCCAACACATAGCAACCCTGTATAGGGTTTCTGAGGAGCGGATGGTGACTTTGAACCACTGACCTTGCAGTTCAAACTGGCCTTGAGGTCAAGTGCTTATCCTATGGTGCCACATCAGGACTCCTGTGGTATTGTTGATGTTAAGTGCCGTTGAGTCAGTTCCACCCACAGCGACCCTGTATAGGGTTTCCAAAGAGCAGCTGGTGCTCTTTGGACCTTGCAGTCCAGCACATTACCCCACAGTGCTACATCAGGACTCCCCCGTGATATAGTGAACTCTTATTTATTCCTTTCATCTTCTTTAGATGCTTTCTGAGTCATTCAATATTATCCATAGACTCCTTCTGAATTGCATTTCAAGGTTTGAATTTTTTCTTTGTTTTTCTTTATTTATTGTTTGAAAATTATGCACTGTTAAAATCATGTTGTTTTGGAAATGAATGTGAAAAATTGTTTATTTTATCCTATAGTACCATACCATAACTCTCTTTATTGAATGGTGTTGGTGGCTATGTGCTGTGAAGTCTATTCCAACTCACAGTGACCCTGCACAGGGTTTCTGAAGCTGTAAATCTTTA